ACAAGGAAAATGTCGATCACTGTCTCACATCAGACAAAAGACGTATAAAAACGGTGCTTATGGCTACCGCATTTACGAAGAACATGGAGACAGTAAGAGTCAATATCAATTTAGTTGTTTTTGTACACTGAATGCATTATCGGTAACTTGTCAAAAACAATTAAATGTGTATTTAAGTAATGCCGACGATAGTCCCAGAACACAAGTTTGTGCGCGTGTGTATGTGTAGTGGGTGAGTGTATTGTACTATATAAAAGACTCTAGGAAATCCTGTCTTTTCCTTGCTATGACTAAATAGTGTTAAAGCTATGCTAAAAATCCAAAATCACAGACACACACACACACGACCGCGTGCGCATACACACATACGCACGCACGCGCTCTTTCTCTCCCTCTCTGACTTTTGCTACACTTCGTTAAGAAACAAAATGTTTTGTGTAGATGAGCCGTTTATGCTTAAATGTGTATAAAATAAATTAATACAAAATTGGGACTGTTTTGTACAGCAGATAATAATCCCTCTTGCATTGGATACGTATACAGAAATGAAGGTATATACACGATGATAAATTCTATAAAATATAGACACAAGCAAGACGATTTTTATTCTCGAAGTGATTGTCACAAAATGTACTTTTTCATAGTAACAAATATAATTGTATTTCCCATGTTAACTAAAATATTCAATTCAGTTTTCCTTTAGTTTACTAAATTAAGTACAATATTTATACAATTATGTCCAAATATGATCCTTTATGAAGTGATCAATTTATAAACTTTAAATATATCTAACTCATTTGCTTTTAGTTGCTATTCACCACATAACGATTTAAATTTATCTATCGATCGCTGCTTTTTGAGTGGTTGCAACAAATATAAATAGGTCTACAGCATATAGCAAGACATAGAGTTTAACATAGCCCATCTGAATTCATACCGTGTCTATCTTTGCAAAGAACAGATTACAAGTCGTATAAAAATAACGACAAGAAAAGCGGTGAAAGCATTCATTCTTTACGTACGCCAAAATTACAATTTAATGTAGTGGTCAGTCCAATTATAGTATTTATACATGCTTTAATACCTGTACACATTGCTTTTAGAATAATTAACATCTTGCTACTCATCTACATTTTGTTCTAAAAATGTATACAATGAAGCTTCCCTATTTATTATATCAAACTTTTTCAAATCTAAAAATGAGATATATAAATATATTATCAGATAAATGCGAATAAGACAAATATGGTGTCTAGAATACTGTAATAAAACTAAGCTGATGCGCATTTGGTTATAGCGCTCCGTTTAAGCAATTCTTAGGTATATGTAATTACTTGATTGATTATTGGAATTAGGTGCAATGGGAAATATTCCCTAGCCCGAAATAATTAGCCAATTATTAGGAGCAAACGTCATGGAGAGAAAGTGTTAGTGAGTTTCCAAGACACCATGATCAATGAGTAGCAAATTCAGACCCAATCCGCATAACTGTCCCTGGAGTGATGTAGTACTTTATAAAATCTAATGGTAAACATCGGTGTTGTGACTGCAGTGGCAGTGTTTATGGTAGGAAACCTGAAAAATACACAATGGAAATATGACAAGGGACTCGGCAGATACCGTTTATGTCGCCATGGAATAAATTTATGACTTCTAGCGGGATTCACATCAGGCTTGTAACAATACAATTATATCACCTGAAAATGATTTTTGTCCATTATCAAGTAAACTGTTTTGATCACAACACCCCAAGTACCTCTTATTCAAATTTGATATAACTACTTTAAATAAATATTTGCAATAAATTGAGACATCCATAATCACTTCGAATATTTTTATCCCCTGTACTATTCAATAGACTTCTTAAAGATAAAAACCATTTTTTAAGAACTATTAAAGTTTAGACATATCTATAAACAGACGAGTGAAAAGATGCGGAAAATAAAATTCGGCAGACTTGACAAGTTCAGGTGCCATGCCATCAAGACTAGTTGCTTTACCAGCATTGACAATTTAAGGTTCCATGCCACCAATACAAGCTGCTTTTCCAGGTTTGACAAGCTCAATGCCATGATATCTATATCAGCTGACGTATCAGCGACAGCATCTGGTCCCATGCCAACAACGCTAGCTGATGTACCAGCATTGACACATTCAAATGCCTTGCCATGAATACCAGCTACTCTTCCAGATTTTGGATCAAGAATAACTGTTCCAACTTCATCCTGAAACATTTTGCTATTATGTGGGGGAGGGCTGGTGGGATTGATTGGCGGATTGTACTTTCTTTTCTTACAAGGTGTCCGCTTTATTGGGTTATCATTATCTAGAGGTTGATCACCTCAGTGTTCTTGCCCAGACTGAGTAAATATTAATATAAATTAAATGAAACTTATCGATGGAATAAATAGAGATCTAAGCAGATATATAAACATAATGGCACAAACCCTGTACATGAAAGACATCAATTTAATCAATTACATAAACAACTGTGATAATACATTACATTAGGAAGATACATTTCTTTTTTAAATAAATCATTCACCGAATTTCAAGCACAAATATACTTATATAAATAGGCGACCTGTTTTGAATTATAGAACTGGTTCATCATAGAATCGATTGAACACTCGAAGTCATTGCCATGAACAACTTCACAGTGGCTGTTCCTCTTGGTCCCTTTCGAATTTTCTTCTTCTCCAAACTCTCTATTGTCTCGCCTCTTTCAGCCCTCGAACTTTGTGTGGGTAGGTGGAGACGTAAGTAAGCGGATACGTAAATACTTGGATAAATAGGTGCGTGAATACGTCAGTGGAGTTATATCCTATTTTAAAATAAACAGAGAAGTAACCTAAATCTCCTGTCAGATATCCTATTGGAAATAAATCATTACTCCCCTCTCGTTATGTCAGGTATCATCCTATCGACATTCAAACAGATACCAAAGGCTATCTGCTCAAGCCAATCAAGGCAGACCACAAACAAACCTAGATTAATTAGAGTAATGTACTTCCTAGCGGTTATCTCTCAATACTGACCACATTAACATCACAGGAGACATACCAGTCTCATCTCAACTACACAAAGGAATGAAAAAAATTCATTACATGGCTAAACCACGTTATTTCTGGCGAATACACACATTAGAGTCTTTAGCATACATGAAATCTCACTTCATGGCTTAACAACGCTAATTTCAGTCAATGCGCACTAAAGTCTTAATCATACGTGAAATCATCTATCGGTGAATTCACACGGATTCTCGTACCTCATATCAACTAAGGTTCTTGTTGTTTTTGTTGTCGTGTTTAACGCCATTTTCAGCACACGATAGGCTACACATGGACGCCAGTATAAATGGCGGAGGAAGAACCCTAGAAAACCCCGGAAAAAACTGCCGACCCACGAGAAGCTACTGGCAAGCTTTCTCAGACATCCACATTGACGGAATCCGAGATTCAAGCTCACGCAGAGGTGAGATAGCCGTGATCCGTAACGGTGATCGCTTTAGACCACTCGTCCACTCGGGACCACTCAATTAAGGTAAATTATGCAATTCTTAAAATACCTTAATTCTTTTCCTTCCAGTCTGTCTGACTTTAAAGTAAAAGAAAGCTTAATAAAGACATTAAAAATCATTACAGTATAGCGATTTAACACGCACTTGTCTCCATGAATTTAATTAATCGTTCGCCTGCCCAAAATAATGTGGTCTTTATAGATCGACATAAATTTGCACCATTTCATAGCTCCCCCACACACACACACACATACCCCGAGTAAAATCAGTGATTGTTGCTCTCCAAATGTTTGGAAATGTAATCTGATTCATTTACGTGTTCTCAGGTGAACACTGCACCTCAGACTTGCCTAGTCTACTAAAGCAGCCAGCCCTTACATTCTCGTTGCCCTTTTATATACCGTACCTGGACTTGGTACTGCTGAAGAAATAATGATCATCTCATTGATATTCCATTGGTCAACTTAGCATGAGCAAAATAGGCTAGTGGTTGGTGGTCAGTTTCTAAAATAAATTTTCGTCCATACAGGAAACGATGAAACTTAAGATACCCCAAAGATAATTGCCAATCTTTGATTTTCAGAGACCGAATAATTAAGTTCTGCAGTTGACAATTTCCTGCTACTGTAGGCAACTGGAAATATATATCCGTAATAGCACTGCCAATAACCCTCTATCACATGTGTCAATACGTAAGACAAAATCTTGTTTCACATCAGGCACTTTTACTACTGCGTCTGACGTCAGTCTCTCCTAAAACGTCTGAAATGCTCGTTCAGATGCGTCTTTTCATACAACTTTCGTCGGAGCCTTTTTCTCAAGGTAGCAACATAGCGACTATAATACCCTGCTAGTGCCAAGAAAGATGGAACTTCCGTCTTAGTAGTTGGCCGTACTGTGATCCAAAGTTGGTCGACTTTTGAACTAACTGGGATTAACGTGTCTTCGCTGCGTGTAGGTTAGTTTCCTAAGCCCTGCATGACACTTAGATGGTTGTGTGGTTAGTCCCGTTTGTCGAAGTCGCTCTTAAACGTCTTTCAGCAAATTGATATAATCGTCCCACGCAGTTGTCGCTAAGAATAAATCTCCATGAAGATTGAAACTCCAGTCCCCCTTAACTGTTAAAGTAAGTTTTGCATCATACGCGTGGAGACACTCGGCGCATTCTGGACCCCGAATGGCATGACTACCCACTGGTAGGTCCCATCTGGTGTTGCGAAGGCAAGTTTTGCTCATTCTGTATGTGTGATTCGGATTTTTAACGTACCTTTAACAATTGTTCAGTCATATCGCTACGATGTCTGCAGTGTGACAGTTTATAGTTATGTCTATCACTGGGGCATCATGCCACAGACACGTGACGTGATTTCCCACCCAGTTACATTATCCTGACACCAGGCCGACTAGTCCTAACACTAACCTCTTAATGTTGAGCACCAAGTGAGGCAGCAGTTATTACCATTGTTTAAAGTCTTTGGTATGACTCAACCGGGGTTCGAATCCGCGACCTCCTACATTCGAGGCGGACGCTCTAACCTCTAAGCCACCGGAGTGGTTTTTGCTCCGTCTTCTTTTTGAACTGGAATTTGCCAGTATCCGTTATACAGACCGATTTTCCAAACATACTTCGCGTTGGTCATGTCGGCAAATATGGACTCAGGATCAGGTAACAGTCCTACCTGGAATTCCGTGATCCTGTTTAACTTCCTTTAATCGACGCAAAATCTGTGTATAGCTAGCGTCTTTCTTCTGTACCAACACAACAGGAGAGCTATACACCGGCTCAGTTGGTTCGGTAACTCCCAAGTCTATCATAGCCTGAATTTAATTTCGGAAAGTTTCCAATTTCGCATAGGGTTTAAACTTTACTGGCTTCTCATCCAGTAGCTTCAGGTTGAACACCTCCAATTTCGTCTTGCCAGGTCATTCTGTCAATAAGCTTGAGTAGTCTTCCTTACGTTGCTCTGACATTAACGTCCCGTCAAGGACAACGTTGACGTATGTTTCTACCCTAGTCAGAGAGCAACTAGGGAGTACTTCCGCCTCTCCTTCGTTGTCGTCGGGTTCTTCAGTCACAACTGTTGCAGCCACGAGCTCTGTGGATGTCTTTCTTTCACGGCAACGTTTCAAGAGATTTACGTGGTACAGTTCTTCTCATTCTTTTTCTCCGTAACTACAAACGGTTCCCTCAATGAGACTTGAAGTTTGTTGTGCTCTAACGGTAGCAACAACAACACCTTGTCACCCAACTCAAAGTGACGTTCCTTCGTCTTTTTTTGTATATATAAGGACACCAACTCTCCACCAAACTTCAACAAAGGCCTCAGCCACCGTGAATGAGTCAATGGTTTTCATGGTCATGTGCTCCTGGTACCGGGTGGCGTAATCTACTATCGTTAGTATATTACGATTACCGCTTTCTGTCGCCGGCTTTATCGGACCTACTAGGTCGATCACTACTCTCGAGGAAGGTTCGTCAATCAGTGGGGTGGTTCCTAGTGGCACTGGGCGGTGGATGGTCTTATGTTTACCCGCTAACATTTGTCACACGACAAGCAGAACCTACGAATATCCCCGTACATACCTGGCCAGTAGAACTCCCTCATTAACCTGTTTGTGGCTTCCAAGTAGACCCTCAAGTGCCATGCTAAGCACTTCTGTCCCAGGCTAAGACTTAATTAAGAATAACTTCCTCTCAAGACAGACATTAAAAATCCTTGCAGCATAGCAATTTAACACTCACCTATCTCCATAAATCTAATTAATCGTTTACCTGCCCAAATTAATGTGCTCTTTATAAATCAACAGAAATTTGCACCCTTACGCTATTACCATACAAACTATGATAATGTGTCTATATTTTGATTACAAACGTTGGACTGCATGATAATTTGTTTATATTTTTTATTAAAAACGTGTAACTACATAAAAATGTGTCTATATTTGGATTAAAAATGTTGGAAACTTTGCGCTAAACTAAAATTTACATTTGCTTCAGGTGAACTCCAATTCTTTATGGATTAGTTTTGTTCTATGCATCTCTTAATTGATCTTAGGTTTATTTTTAAAGTTATATTTTTCTTTAAAGAGTTATTTATTCTTAGTGGGAATACTTATGTTTGATGTCACTCAATACCAGGAAAAAAATTCTTTACTGTGATATTTCTGAACTTATCGCAATTCGTACCACGGCATACCGCAGTAGACATCGTGGATTTCACACTTTTGCATACCCAACAGATCACGTAACGAGCTCTCACATTAGTTTAAGGACTCGGCTTCCTGTGAGCTAGAATTATTCTCCTGAAGAGGGCACATTTTAAAAACACGTGGCACAGTTTAAAAACACGTTTCAGCAAGCTAAATATGCCAAGGGTTGTTGTGAATCCATGTGGATCGAGACCCTACGCTAGCGAAGCACAACTGCTGTCTAAGCTATATAAAATTCACAAGCATAAATATGTTACAACTATCAACTGAAAAAATGATTAGTTCTTCATCGCATACTTTTGAAATCATTATTGTCGTCACCAAATATAAATTTAGTGAGGTTTCAGATTCTTCACGTTGAAAGCTTCTGATTATTTCTAATTAAAGTGGAATATTTATGAATCTAACTGTCTATGATATCGAAAAATAAGAAATTTATTACATCACAATCCAACACCAAACGATCAATTGTATTTGCTGAAGTCGAAAAAATAAATAAATAAATAGGTAAGCGTAGTGAATACTTAAAATGTTTAACGCAAATTTGTTTTTCAAGCGTGATAACTTTCTCCCCTCACCTAATAATCTTTGAAATATTTTACATCTGAAAGGTTATAAAACGACAAACATAATAAATATTAATGCAGAAAGGAAATATAATCTGAAAGCTGTATCTAAAAAGTTGCGGTTTTTTGCCACAATTTTCATTTCGCTTTTTTTTACGGCTTAACACAGTCGAGTGTTTATAGTTAAGATTAAGTTGGAGCAAATGTGTCAGGAATTATTGAAGAAACGTTTTATTTTGTTTGCTTGTTCGCACATGTGACACAACCAGAACATCAAATTAGTAGATTTTTAAAAAATAATTTTATCAATAGACTGGCTTCTAAATAAATTAGTCTTTTTATTGACAAATGCTAAGCCTGTAAGTAGAAACAAGCAAACAAACAAGTACTACTTTTAAACACGAATCAGATTCTGATAAATGTTAAAATAATTATCGCTAAATAATATAGATCAATGCATTGCCAATTAGATGAAGTATGTTATATATAACATACTTCATTGCAAGTATTTTTTTAAGAAAAATAGTTTAATAAAATCATAAAAAATAGGAAGGGAAAAAGTGTTCTGCATGTTCCAGTTTATCCACATGTGATCAAGTCTCAAATAAGGCATTTAAAATGGGTGTGTATAGAAGAATCACATCTTTGCTAGCCAATGTTCCGATAACCCTATCTACAACTTGATGGATCGAACATCAATCTTGATGCTTTGTTCTAGCGACATCTATTGGATTTCATGTGTGGCCTCCCTTAGTATATAGTGCCAACTAACCATAAGCGTGGTGTATTATACATCCGCCAAAAATGGTGGTTGCAACTGACCTAAAAAGGATACTTTGTGAGTTTAACATCGAAAGTATGGCTATGTACCAGATGGAAGCCATTACAGGTGTGTTTGAGTGAAGGGTATTTGTGCAAAGACAGACCGACATTGTAATATTGCTTATTTATCAGTCCATTCAAGTTGTGTGCTCCCTTTGTATAAATCATGTAGGAACAGTGTACAAATTTAAATAACTTAAAATTTGTTTGGATTCGGTGGCTTACCGCAGCATCCAATGAATTTCACAGACCCGAAGCTAAGAAATATCTGCTCGATATGCCAAGGTGTAGATAGGGCTATCAGAACCTTATCTAGCGAAGAAAGAAGAATCAACGCTACTATGTGATGGTGTCTACATATGCATGACGTTGGAACCCCTACTCTGATATTATCTTCAAATCTAATTTCCATGAAAAACATGCTTAAATTTCTATTCTGCAACAGCTGGTTGGTAATAATTACTGAACACAAGTGTTTCTGGTCTACAGCATTTTCATGATATTCAAGTGAACAGCACCATGGTTACGTATGATGGAGTTACACGTAGGTATTTAATATTTAATATTTCAACAGTGATTCAAATGTTGCATTCTTCTAACTTTAAGGCATCTAACTGTAATAAAAATGTATAAGGGGGAGGGGCATACATGCCAGCTCTGTCCTCCTGGAACGAGTCGAGTAATAAGACACGAGCTGAGTTTAATCAAAATTTGTGTCTGGAGCCAATTTCAGTTATAACAGTATCGAGTTGAGTTCAGTTAACAAGTGTCTTAAGTTGTGTACAGTTAACATTTGTCTTGAGTGTTTTGAGTTGGCTTCACATAACATTTGTGCTTTGAGTTGGATTAAGTTAACATTTTGCATTTGGTAGATCATCTAACTCTTTCGAAAAGACAGTATAATTGCAATTCATTGTAGTAACAGACTTTCAATTCTCATGTGTGAAGTAGAATCTACTACCGGTAATCAGTCGAGCACAATTCTCACATGTGAAGTAGATCCAACTGATCAGCTGAGTACGTTTCTAATGTGTGAAGTAGAAAAACTAATTAAATGAGTACAATTCTCATTTGTGAAGTAGAATCAATTAATCAGCTGAGCACAGTTCTCACATGTGAAGTAGAATCAAATAATCAACAGAGTATAACAATATGAAAAGGTCTTTTTCATCATGCTAGAATGGCATATTATTTTACTGTTTTATAAGACGTGATAATACTGATGTATACAACAAATCAAAAACATTATTGTAAGAGGTAGCTGAGAATCCGATAAAGGTATTGATCTACTTGTTTCAGTCTAATTCAATCTGGCATTACACAGAACTCGTTTTAACATCGTACACCTAATCGTCAATGCCTACAAAAAGTCATAAACTTTTCGAGTAAAATACTTTACATTAAGCTGAAAACTACCACCACAAGATCATAATCATCGTCATCATTATTATCATCATCATCATCGGCAACATAATTATCACTAAAACAGCAGACACAGAAGCAGGTACATCAATCTCCTTCCCAGTCATCTGCTACTCATCGTCAACATCCCCCCTTCCCAAGCTAGAGATTAGTATTTTTTATTAGTGGTTATTTCTCTTACTCTCTTGAGCAAACCAGGACTTTGCTTTCCCCATTTGACACACCTTTAAATAGGTATCAGCGGTCACACATGGCCATAGAACACAACAAATTTTACTATATAGTCTCATCATTTGTTTTTTAGTACTGAACTTGCCACTGTGTGATAATCAATACAAATCATATGTTAATCTAAAATACCTTCAAAGATGACTTTACTGTGAAGTTCTTGTCAAGGGTTGATCTGCATTTTTTGAGAGGCTAAATTGTACACAAAACACCATGCAACGGAACACAGATTTCACTTCCGAATCATCACCATGGCCCTATTACTCACTGTGCACTATCGCCGAAATACACACAGACAACCACACC